TTCAAGCGAGTTGGCGCTAACTAAGATCATTGAGAACACAAAAGAAAAAAGAAAGGAAAAGAGCTATCTGTTCAAAATCAACGTGTGTGGTGTGTATATGTGCGAGAATTAATTTTTTAGGCATAATATTATGGTCTGGGAGCAGGCTAGTCTCCGATGCTTCGCACATTATTATCTATTTATATACATTTAGGGCAAGTCTGCTTTATCATAAATTGCGCTTTGGCTAAAGACCATACGGCGCCTCGGCTTCTGCATATAAAAGCTTCAGGGAGTTTGGCACGATTTTTTTAAAGCTTGGGAATTAATTTGAGCAGTATTGCTCTAGTACAATTTTCTTACATGCTCTTCTAATCAGAATACACTGCTCACCGTCATTCACATCATACAGAATCTATACTCAATATAAAGAGGCAAATCCCCTGGGCGTAATATTTTCCTATTTCAGACCATGTGACATTTCCTTCAAGARCAATTTCTTTGTCAGAGTTTGATCCATTCAAAAGCATAAACATTTGTTTGCTAACGACTTACTTACCGTAGGCAGGCTAGAAGTTTCTTTCATACTTGTTTATTATCTGCCATGTTTAATAGGGTACTTGGCGCACTTTATGCAAGATAACGATGAAATGATATTCCTTCACGTCCATCATACACTTGAAAACGTACCTCAACAGACGACGCACGAATCAGATGGTAAATATATACGTATTTGTCAAGCTTTTTACCTCTTTCTAGGTGATGGTACAGGGACGGCGGAGCCGTTTTTTGAATTGGGGGCTCAATAGTGACATTGTATGGCAAGGTGGGGGGGGGAGTTTAGTGAAAATGTATTAAAACTTTACAGAAAGTGGGGGAGGGGGGGCTGAAGCTCCCCCCATTCCCCCCGGTTCCGCCGTCCCTGTGTTACTGCGATATAATGAAAATTTAACGTTAGTGAAGATCAAAAAATGACTAAAATTTACCAACTTTCATACATCGGTTCACTAGTCAAATACAAAGCATTCAATCGAGGTTGCAAAGTTCAAATTTGAATGACTCCTTGAAACCACCTCGCAGCCTGGACTGAATGGATTGTATAGAATGAATAGATGGATATATAGATAAACATCTTTCTAGTGGTGGTACTGCGATTAAAATCAATATTTACTATAGTAACGTTGGAGAAAAGAAAGAAAGAATGTTTGGAGCGGGAATAGATGGAGTTCGTTCTGCATACACGGAGTTGGTTGAAAAAGCATCAAGAGAATTACGGGAAAAAGGAAGAAAGAAAGAAAGATAGAAACGAAAGAAACAAAGAAATATAAATAAACAAACGCATAAGAGCTGATAAAAACACTAGCAAAGAAAGAAAAGACAGAAAACGGTAGAGAGAAAGAAATGAGAGCTTAATTAAAGAGCGAATCAATGAAAGAACAAACGAGCGAACGAACGAACGAGACTATAAAGAAACATTAAAGATATAGAAAAGAGAAAAGAAAGATGAGCTTCAATCCAAACTTAAGAAAATATTTGCAGAATAAAAATGTTTGAAATTGAAGTATTTTTTGGGTTACAATAAAAAAAGTCACTTATCTACAATTGTTAGAAATAGGATATGAGTATAATATGTCAGGATTTTATCGATCATTGTCAAGATTAAGTTCTTAGAGTTGCCGCTTTATTTAGCTGGGCCATTTCCCGTGCTCTTTGTGGTGGCCTGTAGAATTAAACTTAAAACGTACATCGGAAAAACAAATACTAAACCGGAACCTTTTAAAGAAGGATGACTGGCTTTTGTTTAAAGCCGAGAAATTCAGGACAGAGAAGATGTGAAGTCTAAAAGAGAAAAATATAAAAAAAGAATGAATAGAAAAGGAACGGATAAAAGAAATAAAAGAAAACTAATTGAAAATGAATAATGAACGATCGAGCTAAGGAATGAACGGATGAACGAACGAACGAACGAACGAAAGAAATTACGAACGAACGCAGGAACGAATGAAATAACCAATATTGGAAATAACGAATAAACAGACGTAGTCATGCAATATTAGTAGACTTAACTCTCTCTTCTAGAGCGCTCCTTTTTTTCCTCCCTCCGTAAAAATCAACTTCTAAATTCCAAGTGGAATCCAGTTTACGTAAGAAGAGCCCACTCTGTGGAATCCATTCATATATGATGATGATGATAATAATAATAATAATAATAATAATATTATTATTATTATCATCATTATTGTTATTAATTTTATTATTATTATTATTATTATTATTGTTATTAATTTTCTTTCTTTTTTTTTCGTAGAAGAGGCAGAGTGCAGCTACCATGATATGTTAGAAATAAAACATGCAGCTGAGAAGAAATCAAGACCTATAATGGAAAGATTCGAAAAAAAATGCATTCAGTCTAAGGTAGGTATCTTTAAGGGTATAGTATCATGTGTCATCCCCTAGAGTATCATTTCTTTGTTAAACGTTTGTGGATGGGAAGGTACATGAACTATGGATATAATTCAAACAAAAAAATTGGGCGGTATGGTGTAGGAGGGATGACCCGCGATGAATATGTATTCTGCAATAGCATTCTTAGTTACATCATAAGCATCAGCTCTAACGAGTTCCTAGTATCTCAGACACTAGAGAAAAACGTTTGCGCATGCGTTCACTTCAGCACGTTTTCTAAGAATTTTGAAGAGATTGAGTGAGAAAATAAATGTTTGTTTTCTCCAAGTATACTAAAAAGTTCGAGAGTATACTTTTGTCAGACCAAGATACTGTATTAACAAACACAATATGTAAGAATTAGCCTTAAGTTTCAAGTATGGACACTAAGTTTTGGCATTTTGTGGAGTCCATTTTATCAGGCATGTTTGAAAGTCAAATTTACATATGTTTTGACTAATTTGCATACGGATTCAGAGCATGCGCAGACGTTTTCACTCGTCTCAGTAACTCCTCTAGTTTTGACAAAAGCATAGACCGTTATGTACCATAGACATCTTTTCTTGATAAACTCGTATAAATTCGTGGTTTTAGGTTCGTCACAGAACGATGGTTGCCTTTGGAAGTCCCAGTAAAGAAATCTGTCAGACGGCAGCCAATGAGTGCGTCTCGTGTATCGTCATGGGAAACCGAGGTCTTGGTGTGTTCAGACGATCTGTTTTGGGTAGCGTTAGTGACAGCGTTATACACAAGTCACGTATTCCAGTAATGCTCGTACCTCCAGCTTAGTAASGCAATGCGATTGTCACTCGGGTTTGCTACATACTTTCTACACTGATATTTCAAATCCTTAACAAGGAATGAAACTTCTAGACCAGGAATCGCCAGGCCTGTGTCATTGGCCTATGAAGACTGGGGTGGAGGATGAGACATGATTTGGTGAGGAATCTCGACGAACGAAGATGCCGAGAGGGCGATTCTGGGAATTCAAATAGGAATTCGAGAAAGTAGAAGATCCGAAYTCGGCAATAATCATCTCTATTTTTTATATGGCCTGTATTTATAATATAAACCTTACGTAGAAGTCATAATAATTATTAATTATTGTCACTAATATATTGTTTCTATTATCAATATTACTACTTAAGTGAACTACTTAATTAAACCCCCAGACCCCCGTGACAGGCTGGAGAATTTAACATTCATGTAGTGTTAAACTACACTTTGAGCACTTTCCCCCAGTCCCTGGGTAAAGATTTGCCGTTAAAATTATTAAAGTTGTTGCTGTTAAATTTTGAGTTTGATCTTGTTTTTTATTATTGAAATTCAAATCACATTTGTTATCATTTTAAMTTGATCGACGTTTAAACTTTCGTTTAACATTTGAAAGCTTAGTATACCACGGCAATGGACCCTTCTCAAAAGCATCGTGGATGCGAGTCTAACATGATAATACAAAAGAAATTACACTTTTTCTCATTAGAATTTGTGGCTTTTCTTTTGTATTTCAAAGTTAGCTTCGCATTCAAGACAACTTAAAGAAGGGTCCATTTGTGAAAACGAAGTACCCATCCCTCTCCCAGTCCCTTTACAGATCATCTCCCCCCAAAGAATTTGGGTCGATAGAAACCGGTTTCACCATAAGCCATTCGGAGGTAAGGAAAATACTGGATGGGATGGGCATTGAAGTACATTGTGAGGCTGTACGTCTTAGGGGCGAAATAAACGCCATATTGGAAGTATGTCCCGTAAAACAGCCTAGCAATGCACTGTAATGTGAACTCAACCCAGTTTTTTTCTCAATCTCGGAATGGCTAATATATGACAAACAAAACTAGAGAAATCATATAACTATTTTATTATTTTCAAGTCGAAAAAGAAAAACGAAAAAAAAAAAAAAATCAGAATCAACAGCTTGAGTAGGTATAATGTTTAGGTCACCCATCCAGGTACTAACCCTCCTCTCCCGGGCTTGACTTAGTATCATCGATTCTCAAGTTTTTTCCACTGGACCACGTTTCCAGCTAAATAAGCATAACAATAGCCGTGAAAACAATGCACCAAATAGACTAGACTTTTTAACATTACTTTTTCAACCGATTCCGAGCGTGGCAGAGATGCAAGGGATTAGCTGATATGGTCTGGGGGCCGGCTGGTCTCTCCCCTGATGCTTCGGCTAGAACATTTTCTTGCGTAATTCGTACACCCAAGGGCAGAAGGATTTAATCGC